ACATAAGGCAACAGCGTGGGCAGTCCAGAAAGTGGGGGACCAGCAGGATGATGGGCCACGGACCAGCGGGTTACACGAAGAGGAGCGTCAGGCGCGTGTGCTTGGCCACTCAGTCCTGTCCGACTCTGCGGGACCCCAGGGACTGCAGCCCGCCAGGCTCCTCAGTCCAGGGGATGTCCCAGGCAAGAACACCAGAGTGGGTTTGTCATTTCCTGCTCCAGGGGATCTCCCCGACCCAGGGATGCAACCCGCGTCTCCTGCATCGGCGGGCCAGTTCTTTACCAACGGCACTGCCTGGGAATCCATCACACTCCTCTATATAAAACAAACAACAATGACCTACTGCAGGCACAGAGAAAATACACTCCAGATTCTCTAAGAACCAACAGGGGAAAAGAATCTGAAAAGAAATAACACGTATATGTGTAACTGGATCGCTGCACGATATACCTGAAACTAACAAGATATACTCTAATTTTAAAAATTTAGAAGAAGAAAGAATGATATGAGGAAAGGTGTGAAATTGGCCGGGAAGACCCTCTTGATGCTGGAAAGCGTAGAATGCTGACACAAAGGAAAGGATGCCCACCTCTTCTGAAAAACAAAGGAATCAGGGCACTTCGCCTGTGGTCCAGGGGCTAAGACTCTGACCTCCCGATGCAGGGGACCTGGGTTCCATCCCTGGTCAAGGAAACTAGGTCCCACATTCTGCAGGTGAAGATCCCGAGTGCCTCAATTAAGACCCAGAGCGGCCAAATAAGTGTTAAAAGACACACATCCATATCCAGTTGCAGCATTCCCAAGTGGGACTCTGTCCCCATGAAACACTGACTCCCCGCGCCCTCCTGCAATCCCTGGAACCCACCCTCCTACTTCTGTCTCTATAAATCCATGTGTATTTATTTGTGTGTATTTACACACACTCATGTATCCAGTGTGTGCATGCTCAGTCATGTCCAAGTCTTTGCAATCCCATGGACTGCAGACCGCCAGGCTCCTCTGTCCATGGGATTCTCCAGGCAAGAATCCTGGAGTGGCTTGCCATGTCCTCCTCCAGGGGATCTTCCCGACTCAGGGATCAAACCCATGTCTCTTTTACCACGAGAGCTGCCACACTCCTCTAGGGACGTCCTAGAAGTGGAAATCCAACAGAATTTGTCCTCTGTGTCCTGGCTTATTTCACTCGTCATCAACACCTCGAGCTTCACCCATGTAGAAACAGCTGCCAGAATTCCCTTCCTCATGATGGCTGATTCCCTTGTATGCACATTTCATTTACTGTCTCATCCACGGATGATATTTTGTGAAGGGATCGCCTCCCCCCCACCATGTAACCCATAACGGCGTCTCTCTGAATTTAGCAGTGTTAGTCGCTCAGCTCCTGGCGACCCCATGGACTGTAGCCCACTAGGCTACAACAGAATCCGTGGGATTCTCCAGGTAAGAGTACTGGAATGGGTTGCCATTTCCTTCTCTGGAATTTAGAATCCACTCAAATGCATCAGCCTCCCGCCCACAGCCAGAATGTGCTGAGCGCCAAAAAATTGATGGTTTTGAACTGTGGTGTTGGAGAAGAGTCTTGAGAGTCCCTTGGTCTGCAAGGAGATCCAACCAGTCCATCCTAAAGGAAATCAGTCCTGAATATTCATTGGAAGGACAAATGCTGAAGCTGAAGCTCCAATCCTTTGGCCACCTGATGCAGAGAGCTGACTCATCAGGAAAGACCCTGATGCCGGGAAAGATTGAGGGCGGGAGGAGAAGGGGATGACAGAGGATGAGATGGTTGGATGGCATCACCGACTTGATGGACATGAGTTTGAGCAAGCTCCGGGAGACGGTGATGGACAGGGAGGCCTGGCGTGCTGCAGTCCACGGGGTCACAAAGAAAGACACGACTGAGCGACTGAATAACTGCTGAAGGAATCTTTACATAATCTCGAGTGCCATTTTACAAGCAGGTGATCGTGGAATTTGGTCTGAGTGGAGGAAGTCATTCTGTAGGGAGGGTTCCCAAGGACAAATCCACCCTAGAATACCCACGACGGGCAACATTTAGACATTGCTTGCCATGCAGGCCGCCACATGGACTTCTTCGGAAGGTCTCCAACGTGGATGCCTGAAAAGGCACATCAATCAAGCCCTCGAAACGAGAACCCTCCGAGGACACGTCGGGGCAGGAGCCTGGCAGGCAGGCGCCCACGCCTAGGACGAAGGTCAGGCAGACGGCCAAGTCCTAAAAAGCCCTAAGAAGCCCACGCCCTGCCGCTCCATCCACGCCCCACCCTGCCCACACCCCGGCTTATCCACAGGCCCGGGGCGGAGGAGTGGATTGCCAGCGTGAGGCTGGAACACGGGAAGAGCTGAATGCCCTCCCGAGTGTAGCCTGGCGAGTCCTAGAAGGCGGACTCCAGGTGAGGAGGGGGCGGTTCAGGACACGCACAGGTCGGCGGCCCATTGCCCAGACAGGGAGACCACTCCACCCGGAGCTCCAAGACGGAGGTGTGGCCACGCCTGCCTCTGAGCACGTGGCATCCTTGCCGGACCCCTTGCGGCTGGCCGGCCAGCTTCACCCAGCAGGCGAACCATCACCCGGAAGAATCGCTCCATGTCGAAGCACACGGCCGAGGAGACCCGGAGGCGGTCCCCTCGGAACCGGATTCCTGGAGACCTGCAGTCAATCCCTCTGGATTCCTCCTCCTGCCTTTCAGAAGCTGTCTTTGGGCTTCTATGCTGGCACTGTCGTCTGGTCACTCGTCCGACTCTTGGCCACCCCCTGGACTGTAGCCCGCTGGGCTCCTCCGTCCGTGGGACGCTCCAAGGCCAGAATGCTCGAGTGGGTTGCCATCTCCCTCCTCCAGGGGATCTTCCCCACCCAGGGATCGAACCCGCGTCTCCGGCATTGCAGGCGGGCTCTTTATCATTAGCACCACCTGGAAAGCCCACACACCACTATATAGAGAATGAACAGCAACATCTGCTACATAGGACAGGGAATTCTACTCAATATTCTCTCAGAAACCAACATGGGGAAACAACCTAAAAAGAAATACATGTATATGTGTAACTGAGTCGCTGGGTTCTATCACTGAAATGAACATGATGCACTTTCACCCTAAAACATTTTTAAAAAAGAATATGAGGGAAGGTGTGCAATTGACCGGGAAGAGCCTCGTGATGGTGAAAGGTGTACATCGGTGATGCAAAGCAAGGGACGCCTACCTCCTTTAAAAAGTAAAAGGGCAGGGCTGTTCGCTGGTGGTCCAGCGGCTAAGAATCCGACCTCTCCAAGCTGGGGGCCTCGGTTCCATCCCCGGTCAGGGAACTAGAATCCCACACGCTGCAAGGAAACCTCCCGCACGCTCCAGCGAGGGTCCCAGAGTCCCTCTGCCCCAGCTAAGATCCGGCAGGGGCAAACCATAAATATTAAAAAAACTAAGCAAAGCACAGAAGCACGTTTACTGGGATTCACGACCAGGGAGTTCCCGCGGGGCTTGTGTGAGTCACGAGCAAAATGTGCAAAAGCCAAGCTGGCCTTCCCGGCCTTCCTCTGAAGACTACGTCACTCAGCTATTTCCATCTGAGTCCCTCTGAGTGCTAGCAAACCCTTTTGCTGTTTGTTTTCTAGCGCTAGTGGTTCTATTGGTATTTTAGGCGTGGCTCTTTTTTTTTTTCTTGTTGGTAAATTAGCACGACTGTTTGCTCCAAATAAGAGAGATTTTATCCGCATGTAATTACTCAAAACCAGTATCTGTTTCCACTTGGGTTCATTGGAGCATTGTTAAGTCATTTTCCTGTTTGTTTTGTGGAGTTGGGTTTTTTCCATTGGTATTGTGGGGGTGGTGCAGAGTATTTTTGTGTGTTTTTTTGGTAAATTAGCATGACTATTTGGTCCAAATAAGAGAGGTTTCATTAGCATGTAATTACTGAAGAGCAATATCCATTTAGGCTTCCCTCATAGCACAGTTGGTAAAGAATCTGCCTGCAACGCAGGAGACCCCAGTTCGATTCCTGGGTCAGGAAGGTCCCCTGGAGAAGGGAAAGACTACCCAACTCCAGTATTCCGGTCTGGAGAATTCCATATAGACCGTGGGGTTGCAAAGAGTCGGACACGACTGAGTGACTTTCACTTTCACTTTTCATATCGATTTCCATTTTGCTGCTTGTTTATGTCGTGTTGGGGGTTTATTGGTATTTTGGGGTGGCGTGGGTTTTTTTTTTCCTTTTTTTCTGGTAAGTTGTGATTGTTCAGCCACTCAGTCATGTCTGACTCTCTGTGACCCCGTGGACTGCAGCTCGCCAGGCCTCCCCATCCATCACCAACATCCAGAGCTTGCTCAAACTCATGTCCATCGGGTCGGTGATGCCATCCAACCATCTCAGCCTCTGTCGTCCCCTTCTCCTCCCGCCTGCAATCTCTCCCAGCACCAAGGTCTTCTCAGATGCGGGGCGCACAGCTCCAGTCCCTCATGCGGGACGACCCCACGTGCCGTGGGGGACAGCTAAGCCCATGCCCCACAACTCCTAGAGCCTGTGCTCCGGAACAAGAGAAGGCACCGCAGGGAGAAGCCGGAACACCGCAACGAGAGAGGAACCCCACGCCCGCCCCAACTGCAGAAAAAGCCGGAGTGGCAGCAAAGACCCAGCACGGCCAAAAAGCATGAATAAATAAGTAAAACTATTTTTTAAAAAAACCAAAAAACAAGAAGTGAAAGGAGGCGGATGTACCTGCTGGTAGGTACATCCGAAGATTCCTGAGCAGACACAGGCGTCGGAGGACGCTGGGGGTGGACAAGGAATGAAAACGTGGCCCGATTTCACCAGGAACACTCTCCCTCACGGGTACCTTTGCACCGGCCAAGGAGGACCAAAGACCCTCAAAGAAAAGCTCCAGGGCAGAGACACGGCCCCCCTCCCCAAAGCCGCTTCCATCAGCCCCACCGGGAACGCGGACGCAGAGCAAACCCGAAGCGCCATCTGTCTGGGGGAGACCGCTCAGGTACCTTGGTCGTTGAGCGTGTCCTGCTTTATCCTCCTCACGACCTCCTGGGCTTTGCTGTCGTTATTTCCGGCTAGAAGGGAAAGAAAGACACGCGACTCAGGGGAAGCACACCTCTCCACGGCAAACAGCGTTTTCTCGAGACGGTGAACCCCGAAGCCTGCCGAGTGTCCGCTTCCGTTTCTGCTGTCGGGACTGGGCCAACAGCTCAGCACCGCTGTGGCTGATTCACGTATCCGCTGAAGATGACGCTTTCTTCAGCCTGCACTGGCCCAAAGCGTGCTCGTCTGGGGGGGCTTCCCTGGAGGCTCCAAGAATCTGCCTGCAATGCAGGAGCTGCGATGCCCTGGAGAAGGGAATGGCAACCCACTCCAGTATCCCTGCCTGGAGAATCCCATGGAGAGAGGAGCCGGGCAGGCAACAGTCCCGGGGGTCGCAGAGAGTCGGACACGACTGAGTGACTGAACGCACACACACGCACGCACGTATGCATTTCTGGGGCATCTTACTTTTCAGTGATTGCACACACACGTGTCAGCTTAGGGCATGAACACCACGGTGATGCCAAGAGCAGTGTGGGCCTGAAAGTGTCGATGGAGATGTCCCGCTGGACACAGAACTTTCAAAGCCCATTGGTCCAGTGAACCCCCCCGACTCACGGGAGGCTGGAGCTGTCAAAAGCACCATGAGGGAAGGCGTGGTGAGGACTCCACCCGTTCGCTGCCTGGATGCAATCCCTGGTGGGGGGGACCTAAGATCCCGCAAGCCACTGCAGGGCCAAACAGAAAAATTAACAGAGCAAAAGAAAGGGTCAGTCGCTCAGTCGCGTCCGACTCTCTGCGACCCCATGGACTGTCGCCCCGCCAGGCTCCTCTGTCCGTGGGATTCTCCAGGCAAGAAGACTGGAGGGGGTCGCCACGCTCTCCTCCAGGGAGGAGGATCGAAGTGAAGTCCCCTGCGTTGTCAGGCAGATTCTTTACCGCCCAAGCCAACAGGGAAGCCCCCTCGAGGACAGGGGTCCCCATCATCTTGGCAGCAGGGAGCAGGTTTGTGGAGAAGAGAAGGGGATGGTTTCGGGCTGATTCAAGCCCGTCACCTTTCTTGTGTATTCCATCTCATTATTATCCCATCAGCTCCCCGACTGATCATCAGGCATTAGATCTCGGAGGCTGGGGACCCCTGCTCTGGGGTCCAGGCGTTTTCAGGGCTCCGTGAAAATATCCTGCCTCTCTCAGCTGTTTCCGCACACTGGTTACATAGACGTGGGCTCCTTCGGGCTCTCTGGCGGTATTCCCTACCATCTTGCTCTATATTACGTGTTCTGTGTTACTGACAAGCGCCCCGAATGAATCCAGGCTACGCCCTTTGCAAAACAAAACAAGTGTTTACAGCAAAGAGTCCCACAGACACGTGAGACAGAAGCGGTGACTGTTGTAGCTCAGTCCTCGGCGTGTCCGACTCTCCGCGACCCCGTTGACCGCAGCACGCACGCCAGGTTTCCCTGTCCTTCACCCTCTCCTGGAGTTTCTGCAAAGTCACGTCCCTTGGGTCGGCGATGCCCCCCGACCATCTCATCCTCGGTCACCCCCTTCTCTTCCTGCCCTCAGTCTCTCCCAGCATCAGGGTGGCGAACCCAGGGAGAACAGACACGCTTCTGGCTCCAGCTGGAGACGGAGAAGCGAAAAGTGGCAAAGAAAATCTTCGGGGGAGGTGAACGAAAAGGGATTTAGAAACCGCCGCCGCCTTGGAGAAGTTCAAAGCAGCAGACATCAAGAAGACGCAGCTGCAAAAGTCATTTGCAACTCAGGCGCCTGAAAGAAATAATTGTTATGTGGTTATGACTGGTTTGCTCAGAGATTTCTCCTGCAAGCGGGTGCCAGGGGCACGGGGGGAAAGAACGCATGTCTTCCACCTCTAAACGCTGGAGGCATCAAAGACCACCACCTCCAAGAAAGAGAATTCAGGGCTGAGAGGGGGACATGGGCGTGTATGAGCTTGTTTCTGAAATCGGTGCCATTTTTTTAAAACTGTATTTATTTTAAATGAAACAAAGATGAATATTTTTAACGATAAGAGGGAAAACACACGAAGAGAGACATCATAAACCATTAGACACCTTAACGGCAGAGAAACGAACATACATGCAGCGACAATCAGAAGGAAGCAACAATCAGAAGGAATAGAAGGGAAAAGAAAAAAAATAAATAACCAAAGTGAGTGAGACGTGTTATTAAAATGCCATCTGCGGCCAGGCTGCCTGGCAGGGTCAGGCCACAGGGCTGGCGTAGCTGAGGTTCCAGGGAAGGGAGAAATAAGCCCGAAGGATGGGGGGAAGAGATAGTCAGGGAGCCTGGGATGGACGTGGACACACGGCTGTGTTTAACATGGAGAACCAGCAAGGACCTGCTGGCCAGCCCAGGGAACTCTGCTCAATACTCTGTGATAACCTGATGGTCACCAGGGGGAAGGATGGGGGAAGGGACAGTCAGGGAGTCTGGGATGGACATGGACACGCTGCTGTGTTTAACATGGAGAACCGGCAAGGACCTGCTGGCCAGCCCAGGGAACTCTGCTCAATACTCTGTGATTAACCTTATGGTTCCCAGGGAGAAGGATGGGGGAAGGGACAGTCAGGGAGCCTGGGATGGACGTGGACACGCGGCTGTATTTAACGTGCAGAACCAGCAAGGACCTGCTGTCCAGCACAGGGAACTCTGCTCAACACTCTGTGATAACCTGATGGTCACCAGGGGGAAGGATGGGGGAAGGGACAGTCAGGGAGTCTGGGATGGATGTGGACACACGGCTGTGTTTAACATGGAGAACCAGCAAGGACCCGCTGGACAGCTCAGGGAACTCTACTCATATGTAGAAAGACACAAAACTATATTTAAAACAGATACACAGGCAAGGATCTACTACATAGCACAGGAAACTAAATGCAATATCTTGTAATAACCTAATACTGGGAAAAGAATTTGATTAAAGAATATACAAACGCACAAATATAACTCGAGGACTCCGCCGTACACCAGAATTTAAGAAAACATTGTACATCAACCATGTGTGTCTATTAGGTCGCTTCAGTCGTGTCCGACTCTTTGCGACCCTGTGGGCTGTAGCCCACCAGGCTCCTCTGTCCTTGGGATTCTCCAGGCAAGAGTCCTGGAGTGGGTTTCCATTCCCTTCTCCAGGGGACCTTCCCCACCCAGGGATTGAACGCGGGTCTCCTGCATTGCAGGTGGATTCTCTACCCTCTGAGCCCCCAGGGAAGACCGTGCCTGACTTTAGGCTGTTGCTGATGTTGCATCTGCCATCTACTGAGGACCTACTACTAGCATATCCAGAAACACTCCACTGCAGGAAGCAAGGCGCAGGCTCAGTGTCTCTGCCTTGCCCTCCACCTCTGTCTGGGGGCGGTTAAGTTTTATACAAGCCACACAGCAAGGGTTCAAAGGCACCAATTCAGGCGAGAAGGGCAAAGTCCCACATGCAGATCTGCTCCGTGAAGGAGGAACCCTGCTCACCAGATTGTAAAGGTCTGCAGGAAGGAACAAAAGTACCCTTTGTTAGGGGAAAAAAAAAAAGATATTGATCCCTAATTAGGGCCAGTGAACAATGGACCTGAAGCTAAACCTGGTTCATCTCCTGCTGTAAAAAAAAAAATAAGTTTCACTGGAGCACAAGCCGTGCTCATTGCTAGTTAATCGGAAAGGAAATCAGTCCTGAATACTCATTTAAAGGACGGATGCTGAGGCTGAAACTCCAATGCTTTCACCACCTGATGCGGAGAGCTGACTCCTTGGAAAAGACCCTGATGCTAGGAAAGATTGAAAGCGGGGGGAAAAGGGGACGACAGAGGATGAGATGGTTGGATGGCATCACCGACTCAATGGACATGGGTTTGAGCAAAGACTGGGAGGTGGTGAAGGACAGGGAAACTTGGTTTGCTGCAGTCCGTGGGATTGCAATGAGTCGGATACGACTAAGCGACTGAAGAACATTTGAAAGAGGTAAAACCAGACCTATAGTACAATTTTTCTCAAAACGGACACAGCAAAAGGGATTGATTAAGTGCAAAGGATGTCCGGAAAAATGTGATCAATATTGTATTCTGTCTTGTTTTTTTTCAAAGCTCAACTCCCTGTATCTTTTTTTCCAGCTGATTTAAACAGCTGCAATATTCACCAATGTAAACTGAGTTGACTTGAGGGCTCTTCACTTTCCTAGCAGAAGAAAAGTCCCTTCATTTCCAAAGCCGATGTAGGGGCCAAAATAGGCCATTAGAAAGCTTCAAAAAGATGAAGGGGAAATTGAGAGCGTCCTCTGTGTGTGGCTACAGAAGATGCTTGAAATCGGCTAGGAGCTGACTCGTGACATCCCAAAGGCACGTACTGAAGTCCTGACCCGCAGGACCAGAGAATGGGCTGTATTAGGAGATGAGAGTCTTTGAAGAGGGGATGAAGCTGAAACAAGGTCAGTAGGCTGGGTCCTGATCCCATAGGACCGGGGTCCTCATAGGAAGGGGTCAGGACACCGACATAGACAGAGGGACGGCCACGTGAGGACTCGGGGAGCAGACGGCCGTCCGCACGCCCAGCAGGGAGGCCTCGGGAGGAGCCGGCCCTGCCCACACCTCGGCCTCAGACTCCAGCCTCCAGGACTGCAGGAGGATAACCGTGTGCTCTTTCATCCAGCCGGTCTGTGCTGTAATTTGTTATGACAGGTCCGGGAGGCTAACCCACACTTATTGTCATTGATGGCAGTGAGTCACACAGGCAAAAAAAAAATACACGATCCCCATTAAAGGAGAAGCTAGACTCCTATCCAAAAGAATAAAGAGTATCACAATTTCCTGTGTGTTTCAGGTTTTCAGTGCGGCCCGTTAACGCCTTCTACACCGGCTGGCTCTGTTGTTGAGTCGCTAAGTCGTGTCTGACTCTCTGAGACCCCCTGGACCGTAGCCCGCCAGGCTCCTGTGTCCATGGGATTTCCCAAGCAACAATATAGGAGTGGGTTGCAATTTCCTCCTCCAGGGGGTCTTCTCGACCCAGGGACCGAACCCAGGTCTCTTGCACTGGCAGGACGATTCTGTACCACCGGGTCACTGGGGAAGCCCGTGGTGGAATACGTTGTTCCGTCAATGAGTCGTGTCTGACTCTCTGCGACCCCCGTGGACTGCAGCCCGCCAGGGTCCTCTGTCAGTGGGGTTCTCCAGGCCAGAACCCTGGAGCGCACTGCCATGCCCTCCTCCAGGGCATCTTCCCGGCCCAGGGATCGAACCCAGGTCTCTGGCGTCTCCTACACTGGCAGGCGGATTTTGTACCGCTGGGCTGCCTGGGAAACCCCCCCGGATCTGTAACCACGCCGATAGCTCCATAAGACAGGGAAACGAGGGCATGTCTCCCAGTCTCTCTAACACGCAAGGGACTGCACAAAGGAACCATCACCTATGATAACGTGCATGCCCAGCTTCGCCAGCTGCTTTGCGGTCGCGTATCCAATGCCATCGGTCCCTCCGGTCACTATGGCAACACGTTCGGGTTGCGGGGAGAAGACTGCAGAAGAAGAAAGAGAAAGAAAAAGAAAAAAACAAGTAAGGTTTAGAAGCAGAGCACCTGTCGGTCCACAAGAAGTCACAAAAGAGGGCGCAATGCCAACGGGAGCTGTGGTTTGATACCTGTGGTTTTGCTCCTGTGAATTATTTACAGGCTCAGGATGGGACAGGGTAATACAGGGCCTTCGCCCTGACTGATGACTGCCTGGGCTTCCCGGGGGGCGCTAGGGGTAAAGCAGCCGTCTACACGGGTTCAATCCCGGTCTCCAGACTCCCTGGAGGAGGAAATGGCGACCCACTCCAGTATTCTGGCCGGGAGAATCCCACGGACAGAGCAGCCTGGGGGGCTACAGTCCACGGGGTCGCAGAGAGTCCGACACGACTCAGTCACTGAACACCGTATTCCACTATGGGCTTCCCAACTGACTCAGTGGCAGAAGATCGTCCTGCCAACACAAGAGACTCAGGTTCGATCCCTGGGCTGAGAAGGTCCCCGGGAGGAGGACGTTGCAACCCACTCCAGTATCCTTGCCTGGAGAATCCCACGGACAGAGGAGCCTGGCAGGCTGCAGTCCATGGGGGTCTACAAAGAGTCGGACACGACTGAGCGACTCAGCCCACGTGCGTGACAACAGCCTGGTGTCACCACCTCACGAAGCCTTACTCAATCCCCACAGACACCTCTGCAAGAATGGACGCCGCCAACATGACGTGCAGAAAGGCTGAGATAAGCAACACAGCCAAGGACCCTGGGTTGAGAGTCCTGGATGAATCCTCTCGCATCAGGCTGTCTGTGTTGTAACCTGGAGATCCTAACACCTGTACACACTTTCTTTCTCAAGGGCGCTTAGGAGACCCGAGTGCCGTGAATGTATTGCACATCGTTTTTCTACAACGTTCGGACACGGCATGAGAAACGCAGTTATCTCACCAAAACCACGGACGCTATGACTGCTTTATCCATGAACCAACATGGATCCAAATACGTGAGAATACAGGTTGATGTTTCGACCTAAAGCGTTCTGTTTCCCACTCACGGGCAGAGAGAACACACGTAGAATCGTCTAGAGGGGGAGACGGGGTAGGGGACGGAAGGGTTGGCCTCTTGGGCTTCAAGAATGCCAACTGTCATATGTAGGATGACTAAACAGCAAGGTCCTACTATATAGAGCAGGGAACAGTATTCAATGCCCTGTGATAAACCATCATGGAAAAGAACATGTAACAAGATGTGTGTGTGTGCATGGATATACAGATATATACATATATAGAAGCTTCCCAGTGGTAAAGAACCCGTCTGCCAACGCAGGAGACCCGGGTTTGATCCCTGGGTGGGGAAGATCCCCTGGAGAAGGGCATGGCAACCACCGCAGTGTTCTTGCCTGGAGAATCCCACGGAGAGAGGAGCCTGGCGGGCTACAGTCCGTGGGAGGGGGTGGGTGCAGGTGGATGGAGGCCCGGAGTCTGGGAGCCCCTTCCAGGAAGGGGTAGGGCTGAGTCCTGGACGGACGGGTCACTTTGCATTTGAGCGGCTAGCTGCTAGGTGAGTGAGTTGCTACGTGTAGGAAGTGGCTGGTCCTAGGAGATTTACTACAGGATCAACGCTGGCCAGTTCAGTTCAGTCGCTCAGTCGTGTCCGACTCTCTGTGACCCCATGGACTGCAGCACGCCAGGCTTCCCTGTCCATCACCAGCTCCTGGGGCTTACTCAAACTCATGTCCATCGAGTCGGTGATGCCGTCCAACCAACTCATCCTCTGTCGTCCCCTTCTCCTCCCGCCCCCAATCTTTCCCAGCATCAGGGTCTTTTCCAGTGAGTCAGCTCTTCGCATCAGGTGGCCAAAGTATTGGAGTTTCAGCTTCAACATCAGTCCTTCCAGTGAATATTCAGGACTGATTTCCTTTAGGATGGGCTGGTTTCACTGATTTCCTTTTGGATCAACACAGCAAACATGAATTTGGTATGTTCTCTGTCTCCTTTATTTTACAAAATTCTTTTTCTTCATTGAAGTATACTTGATTTACAATATTTTTATATGTTTAGGCAGTACAACAGAGTCACCATTTTTAAAAAGTTATACTCCACTGCTGTGTATGTTAGTCGCTAAGTCGTGTCCGACTCTTTGAGACCCCACGGACTGTGGCCCTCCAGGCTCCTCTGTCCATGGGATTCTCCAGGCAAGAACGCTGGCGTGGGTTGCCCTGTCCTCCTCCAAGAAAGCTTCCTGACGCAGGGATTAAACCCGTGTCTCCTGCATTGCAGCAGATTCTTTACCACTGATCCACCAGGGAAGCCATAATAAATACCATTAGGACATCTAAACAGAGTCTTTGAAAACATGAAATTAGATCCATTAATACACATCTAAATAAACTCCAAGAGGAAAAAACCTAAACACTGAGAATATTCAAAGAACGCACAAATTTACCTTTAACCTCAGACCAAATAACTCTTCTGCTAATTCTAAGGCAAAACACCAATTTCACACACACACACACACACACACACACACAAATTGTGCATTTGGGGGGGAAAAAAAAAAACTCCACCAAAGGATTTCCCTGGTGATCCAGTGCTTAAGAATCTGTGCTTCCGTTCCAGGGAACGAAGGTTCAATCCTTGGTCAGGGAACTAAGATCCCATATACCTGGCAGCACAGCCCCCCAACATTAATTATTTAAAATAAATTTCTACAAAAACACCATCAGCAAAGTCAGACGGATACAATGAACTGGGACAAAGTCTGCAACTCCCATCGCATTCAAAGAACTGTTCTCCTAAAATGCAAAGAGTTCCGAAAAAAATCAAGAAGTGAAGGACTCTACAGAGACGCAGGACAAAGGCGTTCGCTGACACAAAAGCACATTTAAGAAACTTCCCTGGTGGTCCATTGATTAAGCCTTCGCCTTCCAGTGCAGGGGTTGTGGGTTGGATCGGCGGCCAGAGAGCTAAGACCCCACGTGCCTTAGGGTCAAGACCCCAAAACTTAAAACAGAAACAATATTGCAGCAAATTCAACAACGCTTTTAAAAAAAAAATGTTAAAAAAACTCGTGACCCCCGTGGACTCTAACTTCCAGGCTCGTCTGTCCATGGGATTTCCCAGCCAAAAACACTGGACTAGGCTGCCTCCTCCAGGGGATCTTCCTGACGCAGGGGTCAAACCCGTGTCTCTGACATCTGCACATTATGCTTTAATGCTGGAGGCATCGGGGAGGCCCCAGAAAGGATACTGCAACAGGATCAGTAAACACTTAAAAACAAAAAAACAAGACAGAAACAATATTATAACAAATACGATGAAGTGAAGCGAAAGTCGCTCAGTCGTGCCAGACTCTTTGCGACCCCATGGGGTGGGCGGCCTTTCCCTTCTCCAGGGGATCTTCCCAACCCAGGAATCAAATCAGGGCCTCCTGCATTGCCAGTGGATTCTTTACCGACTGAGCTATCAGGGAAGCCCCACACAAATACCGTACAGGCTTTAAAACAACAAAAATACATTTTAAAAATTTTAAATGCTTAAGAATTAAATAACAACAGAAAAAAAAAAAAATACTGAAATGGCCCTTTCAAAACACAGGTCCAACTTTACACCTAGTGAGGGATGTGTTAATAGCTAACAAAAACTGCAAGATAGCATCTGAGCCAGCACGCTGGTGAGAGTTCCAAGACATCCTGTTCTCTAGTGTGGCCACGGGGACCACGCCCTGACCTACAAAGTGGATGGGAGTGCAGAACGGCTCAGTCCCCGTCGGGGAAAACTGTGTAACATCTACCCCCAGTGACGTGTGATTCTATCGCTTGATCTCACAGAGTCACTTCTAGGAACCAGCTGTGAAGAGGCCAGGTCGGATGCCAACTTAGAACCAAGCGTCTTCGCAACAGCGCTGCGTCTCCATGCAGAAAAATGTATCAGCCACCTGCCACTGAGGCTGTTTGGTCTCCAAGCCGTGTCTGACTGTTTGTGACCCCACGGGCCGTCGTGACGTTACCGAGATTAAACCCTACGCATTCTTGCAAGAGCTTTGTATTTTTAAGCCCCCCTTTTAAGGTCTCTGACCCATTGAGAGTTAATGTAAGGGTCTATTTGTAACCAAGGCTTCCTGGGTGGCTCGGTGGTAAACGACCCGTCCGGCCAAGGCAGGAGGCGCGGGTTCCAGCCCCTGATCTGGGGATGATCTCACACGCCACGGGGGCAACAGCTGGGCTCCAGGGCCCGGGACCCGCAACTCCTGAGGCCCGCGTGTCCTAGCGCCCGGCTTCCACAGACCGGGAAGTCCCCGCAACGACAAGCCCACACCCTCCAACCAGACACCAGCCCCCGCTCCCTGCAACGGGAGAAAGCCACGTGGAGCAACCCAGCAGAGCCAAAAGTAAACCAATCCATAAAAAGTAACTAAAAAAAAAAAAGGCTGCTCAGATCTTGGCAAACAAGCGGCTGGCAGAGGCACCGCGTCTGCAGGGCAAGCCGCGCGGTCCCTTGCGGGCTATGTTTAGACACTCCGCGGTCACGCTTCCAAGTGGCTAACTCGGAGGGCTGACCTCACGGCTCGGGGATGGGCAGCAGCTCGGGAAAATAGCAACATGGCAGGGCTCCGTACGCCCAGCTCGGGACCCGTGAGAGCCGCCCCTAGCGTCACAGGGAAGCGCAAATCTGACCCCGCCTGTGGCTGTTGTTCGGTCTCTGGGTGGAGTCCGACTCTTTGCGACCCCAGTCCTTCACCATCTCCCCGAGCTTGCTCAAAACCATCCATGTTGGATCTGTTCCTTTTATTTTAACCTTTGTACTCTTTTGCTTTGACTTAGGAATGTTGCCCAGAGCCTGAAATAGACAGGACAGTTCACTCTCAGGGTCTGATCTTTAAGGGCATAACCTTTTTCCACTCACAGAGAGATTTAAAAAGTTGCAGAAGAGAGAATAGCCTTTGTTTGCTTGGAGACTTATAGTAACAATATAGACAGGATAGTTCAATGTTAGGCTCTGACCTTTAAGGGTATAACA